GAGTTTCAGGAAACACAATGTTTCCTTTAAAATCTTTTTCTTTTTTTTTCCCCCGACTGCTTGTGTTGCTTGGTCACCCTATCACACTTCGTGTTCTATCAACAGTAACTATGAAGTCGATGTTGACTTGCTCTGTTCAAAAGTAATTCAGACAAAGGTAACACCTGAGGCTGTGTGTGTGTGTGTGTGTGTGTGTGCATGTGCTCCAACAGATGTGTGTGTTTTACATCTATGACCCTATATCCTCTGTTTAAGGCTCATGGGCTGTGGGTGGGCACTGTGTGTGTGTGTGTGTGTGTGTGTGTGTGTGTCTGCAGGTCTATGAATGCAGTGAGGTGTATATTCCTCACAGCTTCCCATCTCGTGCTCAATGAAACCTAGAGCTCTTACAATGACCCCCCCAAATTCTGACCCTGACTGTCCAATCCAAAATTCATGCCTTTCCAGCCTGGCTGACTTCCACGCTATGACTAGAATACACTTAGCAGAGCCCTGCCCCAGGGCCTTTGCACAGGTCCTTCTTCCCCTGGAATGCTTTCCCAAGAGGCCTGCAGGCCACTCCTCAGCACACGCGGCTTCTGCTCACCTCTTGCCACTCTCTGTGCCCCAGCCATGTTCTCCTCGACACTCACGGCCCCCGGGCACTGCTGCACATGCACTCGTATGCCCGTGCTCTGTCAGTTCTACAGCGCGGGGACCTTGTCTGTCTTGCTTCTTGTGTCTTCCTCCCTTCCCTCCTAGCCCACGCCCAGATCACTGTCTGACACATACACACAGTCACTATTGTCAAATGGAAGAACGAGTACCTCCAGGTGGGACTGGGGTGTTTGCATGTGTGTGCAAGTCTGACCATCTGCATGTGCAGATATAAGCTGGTCTTCCAAAGTGTATGGAAAATGCATATTTAAAAAAAAGAAACGAATTTCATTTTTTGGCACCAAACTAAACATGTACTTTAATTTCATTTCTTCATGAACTTTTTGAAGTCTCCAGTTATGTGTCTTCCTGGCTGTATGTCAGTATGTGTCCCTAAGTCTATGTACATGTTAATGAGCTTTAAGTGTGTCTGATGAATGTCTGTCTGTCCGTCTGTTTACTTGGGTACATAACAGACAAGAGAGCCAGCAAATTAACAGGGTTTTTTTGGGGGGGGTTGGTTTTGTTGTTGTTGTTGTTTGAGAGGCTTTTGCTATAGGGCACGTATACTCGCCAGAAAGAGAGAGACGGAGAGATAGAAAGCGAGAAATCACCCCCCAGGGGGGATGGCCACGCCACAATCCCTTCTCCTCCATTCTCCTCTCGGGATCTTGGGCACGCACGCACACGTGCCTAGCGTGAGTTTTAAGCCACCGGGCCTGGAACTCAAACCGCGGTCAGCTACATGGGAGTTCAGTGACATAGCCATTATGCTAACTGCTGGTCCCACAAACAACAGCTTTCACAAGCAAGGCAGCTGTGGGAACTTCAAAATCCTCCTGCCCAGGAAAACAAGAGAGCGAGGACTCCTCAGTTCTGTGCAAGTGCGTTCTCTTTGGGAACCTGGACAAAAAATGCACCCAGGGCTGGGTCCTTCCCTGGGCGCCTCCCAGCCTGTGGTAATTGCTGGGTTCTGCGCTCTACAGCCCCCCTTCCCAGAGCCCTGTGAGCAAGGACAGCAGCCAGCAGCCAGTAACTTCAATGAAAGGAGACTGAGTTTCAGTGCCCCAGGGCCCTTAGGCACCTAGCACTCCTAGGTTTCAGGATGCTTGCAAGTTTATTTAAAGTGCAACATTTGTATCCACTCTAATTTCTTTTCTTTCTTTCTTTTTTTTTTTAGAGGTTTTTGCTATAGGGCTTGTGGGCTGGCCAGAAAGACAGAGACAGAGAGACAGAAAGCGAGAAATCACCCCCCGCAAAAAGGGACAGAAAGCAAAAAACCACCCCCCGCGGGGGCGGTGGCCACCTCCATTCTCCTCTCTGGATCTTGGGCATGCACGCACATGCGCCCAGTGTGAGTTTAAGCCACCCGATTACACGGGAGTCCAGCGACGTAGCCATTACACCATCTGCTGGTCCCTTTAATTTCCTTTTAGACTTCCAAGAAAACGGAAGATCCTGGATTCGCCCTAGTGTTGGAGATTTGACGAGTGAATGGATGAATGAGTTGACTATGAGCCATAGCAACGAGGGCTAAAAGTAAGAGTAACAGCGTGACAGGAAATAGCTAGCAGGCTGGAAAACAACACGGACTCTGGAGCCCCACATCCGTAGTTCAAACTTGAATCCTGACGTTTGGTACTTGGGTGACCTCGGGACAGTTCTGGAACTCCGCACGTAGGCCAGTCACTCTGGCAGAGTCCAACAGGTGACAGCACCGACCCCGCTCGCTACCGCGGCTGCGGCACCGACACAGGCGAGCTCCCTCTGCAGTGACCAGGCTGGGGGCCGAGGTGGGTAAACCCCTGGGAGAGGCGGCGGGGCAGTGTGAGGGCAGAGGCCTCCTGGCGCCGAGCCTTGCTCTGGAATCTGGGCTCTCAACCTCGGCCTCAGTTTCCCCTTGTAGTTGGGAGAAGCCCGGATCCTCACCTGGGATTCCATCCCGGGTCTACGCAGTCCCAGCGGTTCTGGGTAAGACAGGAAGGACCTGCCCGAGCGGTGACTGCGTTTGGCGGGCGCAGGGCCTGACCCGCTAGGCTGATGCAGGGAGGCGGCAGGACCCGGAGAGCGAGGAGCCCCGGGGAGGTGGTGGCTGGACCCCGGAATCACTCTGCCTGGGTCGCCAGGCCGGGGCTTTTGCCCACCGTGGTCTAGGACCGTGCTCTGCCTTCCGTTATACTAGAGATCTTCATAAAAAAAATGGAAAATTAAGAAAAAGCTATGCGTGGATTTAAAAGAAAAAAAAAGTTGCACCAAAATAAACCTGTACTCACTTCACACACTTTTTGAGCGCCCTGCGTGCAGCACCTGGCCAAGAGCGGCAGGGAATGACGCCCAGCTCCTGATGGCTGAGTGAGAGGCCCTTGGCAGCGAGAAGGACTGGAAGGAGGGACTGAGAGAACCATTTCAGTCCCCTGATCCCAGCAAACCGCTTTTAGGGACAGCCGTCACTGGGGCCTAAGGGGAGGAAGTTAACTTCATATGTCCGGAGTCCTAAAAGTGATCTTTGTCTTGTGGACTCTTTACAGAGGCCCTGAATAGGTGCAGAAGGGCCGCCTAAGTCCCACATGGCTGATTCCAGGGAAAGCCCTTTCCAGGGAGTCCCCATCACCTAGGGCTTCCAGTACATGTCCTGGGAATCCTGAGTAGTTTGAATTTTAAAATCGGAAAGTCAGCTAGAAATAAAGAATGTGGGTTACTTTAAGACAATTTGATGTGTGATATACCCTCACTTTTGGAAAGAGCAAAGAACATTGATTCTTGTCATTTTTCCTACAAAACTATCCTATGATGAAAGAACAGCATCCTTTGGTTTACTTTTGACTCTCAGAGCCACATCAGGGAGGTATCTTTTGGTTTCAACTCCTCCTCCCCCCAAGGGGGAAAAAAAAAACAAAAACTGCATGCAGGACACCCGTCAATCTGCCTTTGAAACAACTGTTTTGTCTAAGCTGCACTTCCTCTTCCTGGGTCCAGTGTGATTTGGCCAGTCCTTGGATGAGTGCTTTTGCCTGAGGGGGAGACATTTCTCTGTCACTTTCATCAACACTGTGAAACCCTGCGTTGAGTCACCAGATTCATAGCTGAGCTTCCTGAATTTGCTTTTTGCTGGTTTCTAAGTGTCTAGTAGGAAAGCCAGCATGGAGACTCACTTAGTAAGGAGTCGTTATTTTGCTAAGAATTTTTGTGTTGGGACAGCTTTGGCTGCCCTACAGCAAGCATGCAAATGTAGGAATGCTGGCAGTGTGTACTCAGACCCTAGGACACCTGCATTATGGTGATCCCATGTTTGCAAATGAAGAAACAGAGGCCCCAGGAGGTTGGACAGAGCACCTGGGACACAGCTAGGATGCACACCTAACCGGGTAGGACAGTTCCTGATGGCAGGCAGGGCAATGGGCAGGTTTGGGTCAAACACTTGAAACCAGCCCCAGAATGAGGGAGTTGCTGATATTTTATTATAAACACTTGCTGTGGGCCGAGGACTCTGCTTGGTGCTCTACCCTCCAGTTACGCTGCAAGGTCAGAATATGACTGAAGAAGCCAGTCCAGAGAGATGAAGCGATTTTCCCCAGGTCACACAGCTGGGAGTGTGAAGTGGGAGATGGGTCTACACCTCCCGGGTCCACTCACCTTCAGAGCCTGTCACACTGGCTGTTTGGAGGCCTTTGCTGGGGTGAACATTTCGTTGGAGGAAGATCCTGTTTTCAACCACTTTGCTTCAGGGGAATTTTAGTGATGTGCTGGCTTATCTTCATGATTTTTCCATATTTATATATCACCTGTCCAGCGGTTCCCTTAAATCCACTCATTTTTTAAGTTTAATAGGAAAGCTTTAAGACAACAAATGATAGGTGGGTAGGTGGTGTCTGCTTCTATTGATAGACTAAAAAAGAGTAAAGAGCCATAACAACTACATGCAGAGTGGAAAATCATGATTGGACAGTGGTGTGGACACAGTAGCTACAAAAGACATCTGGGTTTTACGCAGTATCAGAGAACTGTTCATTATCTCAGGTGTGCTCGTGGTCTTGTGGTTGTACAAGGGACTTCAAAAACATCATGGAAAAACGGAATTAAAGTACACATTGATTTTGGCGCAGAACTTTTTGTTTGTTTGCTTAGGGAATTTTTGTTTTTGCCATAGGTTATGTGTGTTTGCTAGAGAGAGAGAGAGAGTGGGAAAGTGACAAATCATCTCCTAGAGGGGATAGCCAGACTGCAGTCCCTTCTTCACTCTGCTCTTGGGATTTTGGACATGCACATACACGCGCCCAGCATGATTGTCAAACCTCTAGGTCCAGGACTCCGACTGTGGAGTTAGCCATGTGGACTCCAGCCACCTTAACCACCACACACCCTGCTGACCCGTGTGCAAAACATTTTGAAAGCCATGCATAATTTTTCCATAATGCACATTTTCGGAGAATTTCTTAAAGACCCCCATCCCCTCGTATAGGAAAATGTCCCTGGGGGGTAGACACTGAAGAAGAGCTCAGGGTGAAGGCGTCCTTAGGTCTGCAGTGCACTTACAAAGAATTCAAAGAGGAAAAACACCCAGACGGGTGAGTAGATGCTAGGTGGGCGAGCACGTGTGGCAGAATGGTGGCGGTCACTGAATCGAAGCAGTGGTCATTTATTAAGCTATTCTCCTAACTTGTGCTGGGAATTTTTCATGATGAAGTTGGAAGAAATGAAAGGGAGAGGAGTCTGCGCAGATGGAAACGTGCATTGCTATGGACATGCGGTGTGACGATCCCGTCCTGGCAGGCCGATCGCGTCCCAGCTGCCTGCTTTGCTCTGCCCTGGCTCTGAGGCACACTCCCAGGGCCTGCAGAGCCATCGCCCTGGGTTGGGCGTATGTGCACTTGTCCCCTCCGGGACCTGCCACCCTGAGGACCTGCACTCACCTCTCAGGTGCTCCCGTCCCAGGTGAGCATGCAGCCGGCATGGTACAGCTGGCTCCCACCCCAGCCATGGATGAGGTCACCTTCAGGAGCGACACTGTTCTGTCCGACGTCCACCTCTATACCCCGAACCAAAGACACCTCATGGTGCGGCTGAACGGCGTGGGGCAGCCCGGTAAGGTCCTGCGCCGGGCAGAGCAGCCTGGCGCCCGCGGGTCCCATCTTGTTTGTTTGTCCACCCGCTTTCAACGCCTGTCCTTCAGACGCTCCTCCCCCCACCCCATGGCCTTGCTCTTGCCGTTCACTCTGCCCGAATGCCCTTTCCTCCCCACCCTGGCTCCTAGATGCCCTCAGACAGGCCCTCCCTGGCCACCTCCACGAGTCGAGCTGCCCTGAATGAGCTTGTTCTGGTGTGGTTATTGATAACCCCATTGAACCTGGGGCCCGCAAGCTACAGCCTGGGGGTGGAATCTGGCCTGCAGAGGTGTTTGTTGTTTTGTTGTCAATAAAGTTTTATTGAAACAGACATGCCCATTCATCGTGCATGTTTATGGCCACTTCTGGGCCAGAGTGGCAGGACTGGATAGTTGCAGCAGAGAACAGGTGGCCCACAAAGCTTAAAGTGCTTAGTGTCCAGGAAAAGTTACAGGAAAAGTCTGGCTGTGTGGTGCCTCGCCTGTGTTCTGTAGAATACAGTGTTAAACCATATTCCTGGCCGCGAACAATGGTCTATAATTACCGCCTCGGTTTAACATTTGTCTCCTCTGCCTCTGACAGGCAGACCCCGAGGTGTCACACTCTGGTTTGTACCCCCAGCACTTAGCACGTCACTGTTCCAGGACTGACTGGAATGAGTCAGTGCTCCCGAGACTGGCCTAAGCCAAAAGGCTGTGGGAACAGAGAGAAGAGGCACTGAACCAGCCTTGGAGAAGGCACGGCCCAGCCCTGCAAGCTGAGCCCGCTCTACCCACACCGAGAAGTGGAGGAAAGGCACCTCGGGAAGGGGGAGCAGCCTATGCAGAGCCCCGGAGGCGGGGGTTGTAGTCAGGCCCTCCCCTGCTGCAGCCCTGCTAGTGATGTTGATGTTTTCCATGAAGAAGGAGAAGAGCGAGCCCGTCCATGTAAAGCAGGGGAGTGGGCAGCAGGAGGGAAGAGAGAGCGTAGGGGACACAAGAGTCAGGACTACTCTAGATCACGTTGGACGCTGTTGTCCTTGTTCTGTAAATGAGGAAGCTGTGGCCCAGATCAAGCAGACTTGCCCAGGTCAGACAGCTAGGGTGGGTGGAGGGCTCCAGCCAGGGCCACCCAGTCGGGTCTCGCCCCCTGCCTCCAGTCTCCACTCCAGGTTAGTCATCGAAACCTGTCCTGGTGACTTTCTGGCTATCAGGTAGTGAGGACCACTTCATATCCTTGTCCTGCCCTCTGTACCGTAAGTGGCAGGACAGGGAGGAGGGTCAGCCTAGGAGTCAAACTGGGTTTGAATCCTGCCTCAGCCACATACGGCGATGTGGTCTTGGTCAGATCACGTAACTGCTCAGAGCCTCGGTGTCCGTGTCTGTGAAACAGAGCTGCTAACCCTGCATGGCAGCTGTAGGATGGTGTGAGGTGGCAGGGCCTGGTGTCTGCATCGCATGTGCTGGTGGCATGGTAACTGCTCCCCTCGGTCACCGGTGCTTGGTGACCTATGTCACAGCTGAATGGGACAGGCCTCTGCTGGCCCGTGGGTACCTCTGCCTGGCCTTTGATGGCCTTTGCAGTTGGTGATCACATTTTCTGAAAGATGGAGGAAGAGAAAGAAGAAACGAGCCCCAGGAGCATCCTCACCCATGCCTGGTCTTGCCTTTCAGTGTTCCTGTCCCAGTTCCAGCTTCTGTGGAGCCAGGAAGCCTCGGGGACCCGGGGTGGTGACCACAGAGACCCACGCCCAGAGGAACCTCCCCTCGCCAGGCCAGGCAGCACGGGGTCTTCTCTTGGAAGTGGCCACAGTAGCGAGGGCTTATCCATCCAGGCTGAGGCGGACAGCACTGGCCAGGAAGGGGTGGGAGCTCTGCTGGACGAGGACGGGGACCTGGACGTGGTGAGAAGGCCCCAGGCCACTTCTGACCCCGACCCGACAGGGTTTCCAAGACTCAAGGTACATCCCATGATCCTGACGCAGGACGAAGACGTCACGGGAGATGACGCCCCCGAGAGCAGCCCCCACAGTGTCATCAGAATAGGTATGTCGACCTCCAGCGCCCGCCCCCACGGTCTCAGCTGAGGCCCAGGAATGGCTGCTGTTGGCTCTCTGTTCTGGGCCAGGGTATTACAGGGAGGACGGGTTTCTTGAAACTGCTCAGGCCCCTGCTGTGTCAGGGTGCTTTTGCCAGCCTTGGCTCAGGGTCATCCAGCCCCCCTCAAGGAGGTGCACCATGAGGAAGTGACAGGTCGAGGCTGTGCAGCTTGTTGGGGGCAGGGGTTTGGGGCCCATGTGTCCATCTCCCCATCAGAGGAGAGGAGCTCTGGCCGGGGTCCATTCACTGAGGTCCAGGGCCTTGAGTCCTATGGACAGGACCAGCACTGACCTGGGTTGGGTGACGGGGGTCAGTGGTTCACTCTCTAAACCAGCGACCCTGACACCCACCCCTCGAGAGCTCAGGTTTTGGAGCCCCTGCCACGCGCCAGACAGGACCCTCCTAGACCGTGGGGTGGCGGGCAGCATAGGATTTGCACCTGAGCTCTGCTCCGGGGCTTACCCTGTTGCTCATGGCCTCCTCGGGGATTCCTGCTCCACAAGACATGACCAAGGCTCAGAGACAGCTAGGCATTTGTCTAGAGCACACAGCTGGTCTGTCTGACACCACAGCGGTGGTGTGAGGTCAGAGCACGTGGATGTGGCCTGGAGTTGCGGTTCTCAGGGGGCTGATGGTGGCTCTGTCTGCCCTCAGCCCTCACACCAGCCTCCCTGAGGAGCGAGCATTAGGGTCGGAGCTGCCCCATGACGGCTCGGCCTCCACATGCGCGGTCCAACCTGCTGAGAGTCCTGTGCACGCATGACAGAGCCCCATGGGAGAGGCCAGTGTGTGGCCGGCTTCCCTACCTGCCCGTTCCAGTGACCTTGCCGCCACGGCCCCAGGTCGCCATTCCTAGAAGTTCACCTTTTCCAGCTCACTTGGCCCCTGCTGCCCTGGGAGGGGTGGAGGGAGGGGGTAGAAAGGAAATGAAACACTCCGTCTAAAGTGGCGGTTCACACTTCCTTCATCCAGGGCTGTCGCACTTTGGTCTGCAGAACCTGACCTGGGATGGAGTCCTGGGCTCTGGGATCCTGCAGAGCTGGGTTTTGAACTCATCTCCATTCCTCACGAGCTATGACCTCAGGCAGCGTCTTGCCCACCAACTTTAGCTTTGCACCTATACTATGGGGTCCAGGCTGCTGTCCCTGGACCTTGGTGACAGTGACCAAGTGTCTAGAGCAGGGCCCAGCGTAGGGCAGGCGCTGACAGTGTCACTCTCTTGACCACCCTTTCCCTCTGCCATGAGCCAACTTTTTTTTTTTTTTTTTTTTTTGAGATAGAGAGAGTGAGAGGATTTTGCCAAAGGGCACATGTGCTTGCCAGAGAGACAGCAAGAAACCACCACCCCCCACTACCCCACCCCCCCAGGGAGAATGGCCAAGCCACAATCCCTTCTCCTCCATTCTCTTGGGATTTTGGGCATGCACGCATACACATGACTGGCATGAGTTTTAAGCCACTGGGTCTGGGACTCAACCCGTGGTCAACTACATGGGAGTCCAGCAATGTAATTACTCTGTCTGCTGGTCCCAAAGGGCATTTATTTATATAAATCAATCAATTGACTGATTGAACATCAGTGGATGTTCAATATTGCCCGTTTTGTTCAATAACCTTCTGCCATCTGTCAGTGACGTTAACAATTCCTCGTCCATAGAAGAACCTGTCTTTATCGGCAAAAAACTGAATGAGGTGCTGACTTACAGCCTCGTCCGAATCAAACGTGATACCATGAAAGGAGTTTTGATGAGAGCAAAACAAGTGGCAGTCTGGTGGCGCAAGGCCAGGCAGGTACAGTGGTGTGGGGACACATCCCGTCCCAGCTGCAGTCACTTTTCACGGGCGATCAAACGTTTGTGTGGTCTCGTGTTATCCTGTTGGAACACAACTCCTTTATGGTCAGTGAGCTCTGGATGTTTCCGGGTGGTGGATTCATTCAGACTGTCCAGTTGTACACATTCAAAGTGATTGGTTCCTTGGTGGGAGCTCAAAAAACATGACACCTTTAAAATCCCACCACGCTGAGAGCCTAACCTTCCTCTGATGGATGTCTGCTCTCTGTCGTTTGAGGCGAATCTTCACATCGGGACCAAGATCATTTATGCATCACATTGTTCTAAACAGTCCACTTCTCATCACCAGTCATTTCAAAAAAGGATCGTTTTCCTCATGTTTAACGAGCAGATTGCAAATGTTTATATGGGACATCAAATGAACTTTGAGTTCATAAGGAACCCAGAAACGAGCTTCCTTTCGTATCTCAGCTTCTTCATCACCTGAACGATGGATGTCCAATGTTTCTGCAATCTCTTGTGTTCTATAACGTGGGTTTTGACTTGACCATTGGCTTTATTTTGCCGTCATCAACCTCGCTGGGCGTCCCTGACTAGGAGAGTTGTTGAGATCAAAATCAGCACCACAGAACTGCTGGCCTGCCACTCTCAGAGCATTGTCACCATCAACTACACAACTTTTCACAAGCCTGACGCACATTCTTCCCTTGACGGGAGTAAAACCATGAACTATGGAGAAAATGCAGTTTGGTCTTCCATATTCAACATGTAAAGTCCCCAGGACTCAACCAAATTGCTTAATTATTTTCTAGAATGAAGCTAGAACTATCAGCTGTCGAAGGACACAGCAACACCATAGGTGCAAAAGACTGGTACTTCCAAAAATGAACTAGCACCATCTGTTACAAAGATGGGCTCTGCCTTTTCCGAAGACCCACAGATGGGTGGTTTTCGGACGCTGGTGGAGCCCTGGCCCCTGGGAGCGGCCTCTGTCCCACCCAGTTACAGCTGCAGGTGCCCTGGTGATGTGGCTCTGCCTTCAGCAGAGGGGGGAGCTACGGCTCTGGGTCCAAGGAACTGAGGGTCAAGTCACTCAGCCAGAAAGTGGGGAGCCTCCCTCCTACAAATGTGCCTGACCTAGAGTCCAGGTCCCTCTCAGGGAAACTGACCAGCTCTGAGTGCAGTAGGGCGGATGCAGCAGAAAGTGAGCAGCCATGTGGGAGCTTGGTGGCAGGGGCTGCTGGCAGCCAGAGCTGGGGCAGAGGGCACTGAGGAGGCTGTGCCAGCCAACTAGAGATGAGGGAAGATGGGAGGGCCTCAGTGAGGGGAGCCACGGGCCACTCCCAGGGCTGGGACAGCTGAGGCAGAGGGTCTGGAGCAGGGTGGATGGGAGACCTCGGAAGGACGCTTCACCCCATCTCCCGCCCCCACGCACATGTGTGTACACACGCACAGACACGGGTCCTCAGCCTGCGAGGGAGTCCCTGTGCTCTTCAGCCTGGCAGTCTCTGCCTCAAGCTTTTCAGACTGAATCCCTGAGCACCTTTTGGGTTGCATGAAAGGAACTTCATGGGGCTGGGGAGCCCCCATCTGCCACTTTCTAGCCGCAGTCCTAGGCAGGCTGCCGTGCCTCCCCGCTTCCTCCTCCTCATCTCTAAGATGATACTCAAGCCCACGTCCACAGGCAGCTTTGAGGACCGAATGGGAAAGCGTTTAGTGTGTCCCCGGCACAGACGTTTGTCAACATCATGCAGAGCCTCAGTGTCAGCGTGTGCATCTGTGAAACAGGACGATGCGGGCCCAGTAGCATGTCAGTGGGGCCCACCCTGTCCTGTGCATGGTCGTTCCCTGAAGGAACTCGGTCCCCAGATATGCTTGTCTGAGTTTCAGACCAAGTACCGACATGTTCAGCCATCACGATCCAAAGTCCTTGGAAGGAAGCGTATTTTATTAAAGCCACTTTCAGACCACAATGAAAACCTAGCCCCGGTGCTGGCAGGCAATGAATTTGTCACTTTTTATTCAGAAATATGTATGGGGGGCAGCAATGTGAGAAGGCCCTCAGGTGGCCAGGTCTCCCAGCTGGGGACAGTGTGATTCAAGTCCTGGACCACAGCCCTGCACTTGGCACAGTGAGCGCTCGCCCTGGGAGCTCGTGGGAGCCCAAGGAGAGCCGGAAGTGCCGTCCATGGAGGGGAGCCCAGGCGCACCCATCCCTACGCTGCTACCTCCCAGTCAGTCGTCTCCAGCCTCGGCCCTGCCTTGCTCCCCACCCCGCTCCTTTTCTTGAGAGCTGTGGCTTGATCTGTGCAAGTCCAGCAAGCACGCGGAGCTGCCCTACTGTGCGCACATGCATGCATGAATCAGAGCCGTGACCATCTGACCTATACTAGAGCCAGCTCTTACTAAACAACAGCGATGTTATGCATCATTCCTTTTTTTGCCTTGATTCTGCATTTCTACTCCCTTCCCCCAGCAATCTCCAGAATTTGTTGTTTGGGAGTGTCTTGCTGTGTCACCAGGGGACAGGGCTGCCTTCAGCTAAATCCTCTGCTCCACCAGCTTTCCAAGTTGCTGGGATCTCAGGTGCACACCACTGCTCCAGGCCTTAGGTGGAACTGGAGTGGAACCCAGGCCTCCCGTGTGGTCACAGCCTGCAGAGCAGCGTGTGCTGCCGGGCCTGAGCCATCCAGAATTTTCCCAGAATGTGTGCCGCACTTGAGACTTCCACTTACTTATCCACGTTCTCTTCAGCGTTTACAAAAGGATTTAAATTCAGACTTAGTAACCTTTAACGTCCAGTGTAGTTCTGAGTGTAAGAAAATATTGGGGGGGGGAGGTGGCACGGTGGTTAAGGCACTGGACAACCACATGGCCAACTGTGGCTCAAGTCCCAGACCTGGTGGCTCGCTCGCTCTCTCTCTCTCTCTCTCATTCTGTCTCTGTCTGGTGAGCACACATGCCCTATAACAAATAATGATAATAAATTGAGACAATCAGATGATGTAACGGTTAAATCTCTGAACTCCCATGTAGTCAACCATGGTTTGAGTCCCAGACCTGGTGGCTTAAACTCACATTGGGTGCATGTGCACATGTGCCCAAAATCCTGAGAGGAGAATGAAGGAGAAGGGATTACTGTGTGGCCATCCCCCCTGGGGGGTGATTTCTCACTTTCTCTCTGTGTCTCTCTGATGAGCACACGTGCCCTATATCGAAAATCTCTCAAAGAATGATAATAAATAATCCTTTTAGAAGGTATGAGCAGTGATTGTCACGTTACAATTGTGAATCGCTGTTACTGAGCATAAAATTGTGTGATACCTGTGTGTCTCGTTAGGTCGGTCAAGACCTGTTGTGGCCCTTGACTTCAGGCTGCAGAGCGTGAGCCACCACGCCTGGTGTCCAAGTGACGCCAGAGCACCCCCTCCCAGCTGGCAGCAGGGCCTGGTTTTGGCTTCTCCCTAGAACGCACAACTCCGGCACCAGCCCGGCCACGTGGGCGGGTTGCCGTGGGCCCTGCCTTGCAGTTTCTGTCCATCCCTGTTTTCACAGTGGGCATTTCTCTTGTGGTTTCCGTCCCATCCAGAGCACACCATGGCCACCCCCCTGGAGGATGTTGGCAAGCAGGTGGGTAGGTCCCGTCCGCTGCCCGTCGTCCAAGGGCCTCTCCAGAGCCTCATGTCGCCGGTCCTCCCCTGGTCTCCCTGCAGGTGTGGCGCGGTGCCCTGCTCCTGGCGGACTACATCCTGTTCCGAAGGGACCTCTTCCAAGGACGCACCGTGCTGGAGCTGGGGGCGGGCACAGGACTGGCCAGCATCGTTGCAGCCACCATGGCGCACACCGTTTATTGTACAGGTAACGCCACGTCCCCAGCTGCGGGGGGGCGGTACTGACCCTAGGGAGGAAGGAGGCGGATTCTGGGACTTGCACATTGGCGGCTGCCACATTTGCTGCCCTCTCCCCAGCCGTCCCCAGCCCCCATGCTTTCTCTCAGTATCGGGATGACTCACATCACGAGTCGGCCACAGCAGCCACTGTGTCCGGTGCCTCCGGTGTCTCTGCTGCACCTGGAAACAGCAGACGAACCTGAAACCCACGAGCACTCTGCCCTTTTTTATAGAAAGCCTTGAGAACAAGATGAGTATTTTCTGATTGTAAATGCCTGGCCTACTCTTGTGGAAGATTGTTTAAAGCACAAATAAAAATTACTCATAATTGGACAGCCCCTAGAGTCACTCAGCAATATGGATTTACTGAGCACTGGCTATGTGCCAGGCAGTGCTGGGCGTGGGGGGCCAGGCCAGGCCGCAGGGTGCTCGCGATTCAGGGCCTCTGTAAACTGTTCATACGTGCACACGCACACGTGTATAGTCCCATGTCGTTCTTGTCCTTTGTGGGTGCACACTCCCATGCAACAGCTGAAGTCAACTATGAGCGATTCTGTATCGGCCATATCCACCAAAATTTATTGAAAATCATTTTTCGCAAGTACATTTCCCCATGTTGTTGAAAAGTAAGTAAGTATGGCTTTTAGTGACCAAGAAATACCTTGTCCTTTTGTTTAGCCCTCCTCCTGTGGCCAGGCGGTGGTCTGCGTTTGTTGGCTCCATTGCAACGACCACCTTTGTACATAACTGTCTGGCGACCCTCGCACTGGCTCCTAGGGGAAGGGGTGGCTTTTCTTAGCTCTTACTGCATATTGCCAGCTGACTTCGTCTTTCGTGTTGAGAGAGTTGTAGACTCACACAGAAACTGCTAGAATAATCCAGAAGGTGCTGTACCCAGTCCCCCAGTAATCGTACCCGACTGTGGGGCCATGACTGGAACCAGCCAGTCGTGGATTCGGTGCTGGTGACTCTGGGCTCACGCACACATCTTTGTCAAAGCACGCTGCAGACAGGAGAGCGGTATGCAGACGCACAGTGGGCATTGTATTTTAGACCCTCTGCGGGACAGAGGCATGACTGAGGTGGCATCGCTGATGTGGTTTGCGTTTCGTTGCTTACTAGTAAATGTCTTCTCAACACAGAGTTGCTGGGAAAGGGGAGCTCAGGGGTCATCTGTCGTGAGTCTAGATTAACCCCAGCCAGGAGTCTGCAGGGCAATGGCCCGCCTTGTGCTCCCGACAGTTTCACAGAATGAGCACCTCCTGCCTTGGTGGAGTGCAGCTGCGCCTGGTGCCTGAGGGCAGGTGTAATCAGACCATGCTACCCTCTGGGTAGGTTTACAGTCGGAGAGCCTGGAGCTCACCTGCAGATGGCACTTACAGTTAGTGAAGGCCTGTTGTGTGCATCGGCCCCTGGCCATAAGTTCACAGTGACCCTGGGCAGTGGCCAGAGAGCTGTTACCATCCCTCTTGCCCAAGTAGGAAGCTTGAGGCCAAGGTCAAGTCACAGACCCAAGGTCACACACACAGCTGCTGACAAGACCCTAGCCTTGGCCTGGCCTACATGGGCCTGTGTCACGTGGGTGGTGTCCAGGCTGAATTCCAGGGAGTGGGGTTCTTAAGCCTCTGCAGAGGCTCCCAAAGGGATAATGGGAGAACAGCCCTTGGGCTCCAGGGCTCCCACCCACTGGGCCAGAACTGCCCCTTCCTTTCTTTTTTTTTTTTCCCTTCCTTTCTTCTACTCGTTAGAGACTCATTAAGGTCTCATGACAAAACTAGCATCAGAGGGCCAGCTCTGTGGCCTAGGAACTAAGAGAGCTGGTCTCGCATGGCCGACCGTGCCAGGCCCAGCCCTGGCAGCTTGAATAACGAGCCAGGTGCATCTGTGAGAAGAGCCTGCCGGTGAGCATGTTTGGTTTGAGCGGGGAGCTCCAGAGGAGCCTGCCCGGATTCCTGCGGGTGTGCTGTCCGTGTGTGTCAGGGTACAAGCACGGAGAAGGAGGTGCCTGATAGCCAGGTCTGCACGTGCCCTCTCGTTCCAGATGTCGGCACAGATCTCTTGGCCATGTGCCAGCGAAACGTCGCCCTCAACAGCCACCTGGCTGATGCCGCAGGTGAGGACCTGCGGGTCTCCACGGAACAGAGTCCCCAAGGGCGGGCTGGGACAGACATCCTGGCAGCGGTACCAGCAGTCAGGTCACCGCTCTCCTCTGCGCCTGGTCGTTGGAGAGAGTGGATGCCATCTTGGCTTCACGTAGCTTCAAACATGGACAGCCTGTCCTTGGGTCACCTCCTCCCCATGCCCACTGCCACATCCTGCCGTGACTCATGAGCCGTGATGGTCCCTGTGTCTGCCGTGGTTGCCAACATTTATCCCTCAGAAAAATGGGGGACGGGTAGATGGAGGTGGGGGAGGGAGGATGAGTAAATGGAGCGGAGGGAGGGAGGGCGGACGATGTTCAGGTCTGGGTGCTTAGGGTGGAAGTGTGTCTTCCTAGCCGTGCAGAGTGTGGGAGTCCCGTTCGGTTTGCTTTCAGGTGGTGTGGTCAAGGTCAGAGAGCTGGACTGGCTGCAGGACGACCTGTGCACAGGTGCGTGCTTCCTGCCACATCGCTGCGACAGGGCGACTTCTCCTGTGTTCTTGGGGCCATCAGCCCTGCGGCTCGAGTGAGCAGGGTTCCGGCTGCCAGGCCCCACCAGCTCCAGGCAGGTCCCCTCCACTGGCCTATGACAGCAGACGTCCCTGTGAGCCCGATGTCACTGTGCCCTTTCTGTAAGTGCTAGAGCTGCAACCAAGAGACATGCGGCACCTTCTTGGGTGACATAGCTGGTAACCGGGGACAGGGTGCCCTGGGCGGAGGTGCAGATCAGGTTCTCCACAGCTCCTGGCCCAGGTAGCAGGTGTGGCTGAAATCCGCCTGCTCTCCCTGGCTAAGGCACCAAGTGCCCCGTGGAAAGGGCACCTCTACACCATGACTGCATGGTAGCCTTGGCCCTGACGGTGGGGGGCCGGGATTCAGGTCTGCCTGGTGATGCCCACAGCACCAAGCTACCCCAATCTTGTTTCTTCTCCCAAAGGTTCTTTTCAGTCTCGCTGAGAGCTGGTCGACAGAGAAAGGTACAAGCCCACAAGAGCCTTTTCTTTCTTCTGTCTTAGATCCCAAGGTTCCGTTCAGCTGGTCGGAAGAGGAGGTGTCTGATTTATACGACCGCACCACTGTCCTGTTTGCGGCTGAAGGTAGGTATGTTCCCCTTCGTCCTGCATGCCCTTGTCTGTTGCTACTCCAAAGTGGCGGGCCCACACCTCCAGAGCTCTCCACACTGTAGAAGTGTCATTCCAAGACAGGCTGCCATGTCTCCCTGCATTTTTTTTTCTTCGTCTTTTTTTATAAACAATTATTCATTGTGTTTTATGATTATTTTTTAAAATTTGACCAGAGAGAGAGAAAGAAAGGGAAAGTGAGAAAGCAAGCTGCCAGGTCTGAAACTCGAACTGTAGTCGGCCAAGTGGGAGTCCGGCAACTTAACCACTGCACCACCCGCCAGCCCTACCCCTGTGGTTCTTTACTTGCTAGAGAGCATGTGCACTCACCTGAGCAAGAGACAAAGTGGAGCAGGACAAAGAGCGACCAGTGGGTGTGGCCACACCACGGTCTCGCCTCCGTGCTGCCTCCTGCCAGGATTTGGGGCACACATGTGCCTGAGGGGCTTTTCAGGTTGCCAGGGCCAACATCCAAATTGCAGTCAGCCGTGTGGGATCTAGTCCCTTAACCACTCAGCCGTGGGAAGGCTCTCCTGCAGTGCTGATTCTGAGCACTGCTGTGTCCGCGGGTGCACACTCTCTCTGCAGTGCTCTGAGGGTCCCTCGGGGAAGCAGGTTTTTCCAACACTTGCGTATTTTCCCTGATGCCTTTCTTCTCCCCGCAGTGTTTTACGACGACGACTTGACTGATGCTCTGTTTAAAACACTCTCCCAACTCGCTCACAGGCTGAAAAATGCCTGCACAGCCATCCTGTCGGTAGAGAAGAGGTGAGCACTGCTCCTTGGGGACAACCAGCACCCGGGTATTAGCCAGTCCTGCGCTTTCTAAACACGTCCTCATCAGCCACCTCGCTGTTGCTCGCCATGCTGACTGAGCACCTACTGTGTGTGTGGCCTGTGCCAGGACTTCACTGGCATCTCCTCCCTTAGTCTGCAGACAGCCCTGTGGGCAGGCTCTCCTGTCCTCATTCTACAGGGAGAGTCTGGGAACCCTGGCCTGGTCACAGCTAGTTAGTGAGAGGTGAGGACTTGCACACAGATCGTGGGCCCAAGCCACACCTGACACCACACTGAGAGTGCCGCTCCTCTCCTGCATGTTCTCTGGAGGCTGCCTGCCTCCCCTGCTCCTCCAGGTCTCTCTCCTCTTCCCGATCCACACCGAGGCTCCGCCCCGACAGTACCTCCAGGCTGTTTCCACCTGAATACCCTAAGATGTTAGGGCTCCTTTTACTGCACGTCCACCTCGTGATAGTGACTGTGCTAGGCGCTTACTCACGTTTTTCCTCCAGTAATTAGGGTAGTCCATAGCTTTCCTGGAGACAGTTTGGAATATGCAGCAAAGCTGGAAAGCCAGACGTGCTTGCTGACCCAGCAACTCGGCATCTAGAAATTCACCCCCAGGAAATGAACCTGGCTATGGACAAAGCTGTATATTCTTGCATATTCATGGCAGCGTTGTTTGTGCTCATACTGCCGAGGATGTTGTTGAAGGTTCATGTTGACCAGTGCCAATGCAGCGACCGCATTTGGAGTCTGGTTGTATAGACCATAAAGAAAAAACTCAGGATGGTCAGGAGAAGCAGCAGAGCTCTAGGGTGGCCACGGGTTAACAGTGGCTGAAGCCGGGTGATGGGTTTGTGGCAGGCCATCATACTTAGTCCTTTGGCATGTTGGAGTTTTTCATAATAAAAGATTTGGGGAAGAAAAGAAAAAAAGGCAAAGAGCAAGTGAAATCAGCGTGCAGCCCCAACTGTTGAACCGTGCACACACCAGGTAGGGAGACTCAGTCCTGAAGTTGTGCTCATGTTCACCCTCTCCCCTTCGCAGGCTCTGCATCCTCCCCACCTCCCTCCACCACTGCCTCTGCTCCATTCACCTCACAAAAAGATACAGAGCCACTTACACACTGGGTCTGCTGGCTGCGGGCAGGACAGGCCTATCCTCAAGTACCAGTCAGAGTCGGCCTCTCCTACCGCTTGTAGCTGCTCAGGGCAGGGGCAGCCCTTGTGTCTCCGGTGGTACAATCTTGTGCACGTGATTTCAGCTTTCCGAGCCTGTGTCCACACCTGTAAAGAGGAGGTGATACCGTCTCACCTCTGGCACAGGTTCGGGAGGGACCGCTCTCCTATGCGCTGCCCTCAGTGGGCACCAGCAGGAGAGGAGGTCAGGGAGGCAGCAGGAGGCCAGCTGAGAGGGGACACAGCCTGCTCCCAGCACTGATGCCGTGGGTGTGTTGCTGACTGGCTTGCAGGTTCAACTTCACTCTGCGGCACCTGGACGTCACATGCGAGGCCTACGACCACTTCCGCTCCTCACTGCACGCGCTGGAGAAGCTTGCCAAGGGCCGGCTGCGCTTCACGGTGGAGCCTGTGGAGGCCTCCTTCCCGCAGCTGCTGGTCTACGAGCGCATCCGCCAGCTGGTAGGTCCAGGCCCCACATGGGGCCGCCGATGGCTTTGGCGTGAAACTCCTGACTCTGGGGCAAAGGAGCTGATGAACCAAGGCCTCCACACACAGGCCCCTCCCTGGTCTCCCATGGGCAGAGGCCGCAGGCTTGATGACAGCTTTAGTGACACATGGTAGGGGGGCCTAACCCCCGTTCTCAGGGGTCATCATGTCCAGATCTGGGCCTGTGGATACACCTTCACCTTCGACTTTACACACATTCCTTCCCTGTGGTCAGCTCAGACGCCAGAGGAAGCAAGACCAGGGCAGAGGCTGGGCAGTGGGCAGTTAGTGCAGGAGAACGTGGCGGGTCTTGACCCAGGGACCCGGTGTAGCAGCTGATGGTCACATCCTCACCATGGGCGTGCACCAGCCCCTCCGACTGAGCAGGGTGGTCTCGTTACTGCTGACCCTTCTGACGACATGGTGGGCCCATCAGGTCTCATGGGGATCATCCCCACAGTGTAGCGCACATGCGCCAGGCGCCAGGCTGGGAGCCGCTACCCCCACCCCCTGCCCACCGCCTCAGTGACTGCAGCAGCTGAGCCAGCGAGGCTGGAAACCGCAGGGCCAGGACTCAACCCTGCACACCGCTTCCTTTCACAGCTAACAGACCTGGCAAAGTTACCCCTCCAAACCCCTAAAATTACCAGGAGCTGGATTGGTAGAATCCAGAGAAGAGAATTCACTTCCTTTGTTCTCTGTGCCCTTGGGTGTGGCCTCCCTTCCTATGGGTCTGTGGGGCCCCAGGCCTGGCTCTGGGGAGGAGGAAAAGTAGGGATGGGGAGGAGAAGAGTGTACACCCCCTCACCCCCCCACAGCCCGAGACGCTGACCAGCAGAGGAGCCTCCTGCTTTTTTTTTTTTTTTTTTTTTTTTTTTGGGG